CCCAACAAGCACAACCTTTCCTATAGCCCAAGCTTTCAATCATCTCCTGTATTGCACTGTGCCCTATTCCAAGTTTTCGGGCTATTGTGTCCACAGTCACACACCTGTCATCTTGAATGATCTTATCCACTCTTTCCCTGTTGCGTTCAGTTGAGGCTGTTTGAGGACGACCGCTCTGAAGCTCATCTTCGATGCTGGTGTTCCCATCTTTAAAATGTTTCACCCATCTTCGAACACTGCTCGCACACATGGACACACTTCCATAAGCACGCTGAAGTCCCTGGTGAATTTCTGCAGCAGGGATTTCCTCTTCACAAGAAATTCAATAACAGCATGCTGGCGAAACAACATATCGTTGTCCACCATTTTGTTAGGAGTGATACTGGTCACGTGATGCAAGCTATTGGCATCACAAGACACTCAAGGTTAACACAACAGCTGGTTCCACCTACCACCATACTCTCTTTCATCTGCTGTTCCCAGGCTGCATGCAAAAAAAAGTTGCTCATGACTTTCAGTACAACCTACGTATTTTAGAGCATGGTTGACACTTGAACTTCTTTGGTGCAGATATCCTGACTAACAGCAGTTGCGTTACAAACAGATATTTTTTGCGACTTCTTGCTGTGAATAAACCAACCAGACACCAAATAACTGTTAAGTACTAAGGGACACCTTTGGGAAGCATCATGACTTTGGTCAACCTTAGGGTGGACATCAATATTGGTTTTTGTACATATAATAAATGTTTTGAGGTGAAATTCAGGATCAAGCACAGTAAATAAGCCATGAGAGCTTATACCACAGATGCCACAGTGATCTCCATGGTGATGTGGGCAAAGTTTCGTACAAAACATTTGGTACGTTAACTAAACTAAAACAACAGAATTCCTGCAGATGGTAATACTGTGGCTTACCCTTTGCTGTTGACTGCCCTGCAGTTGTTGAGGGCTGGCTAAACTTTGGTCTGCAGTCTCTACTGTCGTTGGAAGATCAAGGAGTCGCTGGATTTGAATACCGTCTCCAGGGCCCATATGACTTATATGATTGAAATTAGTTGGTGCCGAAATCATTTTGGACCTTCGGTCAGTTCTACAATAAGAACAATGTACATTTTCATTACATCTTACAAATATTAGGTAAAAAGGATAAAATCCCCATGCTTAACTTAATTAAGCAGTATGCCATGAAAGTATATGGCAGAGTGAACAGCTTCATGCCCCAGCTGCTTTACTCCCTAAGGAAAGAGCCCATGGTACCTATGGGACAGGAGGTTGGGTGGGCCCCAGAGCCAGTCTGGATGACATGGAGAAGGGAAAATTCTTGACCCTACTGGAACTTTAAGTCAAATCCACCCGGTCATCTACTCTGTACAGACTACAGACTACGCTATCCCGAATCCTTACAAATATTAGAGTGTTTTGTATTTAAAAAACAAAGCTCATATGTGACTTGGAATGGATAATCATCTTGTACTACTTTCTGAATGAGAATGAGATCAGGAGTGGATGTCTATACACAACTGTGAGATGTCGAATCCTCCTGAAAACAGCCGTGCATCCCTGGAAAGGGCTGTTCTGTCTTACTGTTCCGTTTCCCACGCACAACAAAAAGCTAAAGTAGGCCTTGAAACGAAAGTTTTACTACTCATCCTTCCACACTCTTCCTTATTCCCTGCCTGTATAACTGAGACATTTCCTGAATCAACACACTTCAACCCTGAAGATGGAAGCAGCATCTGCCTACATGATGTCACATTCACTACACAACAATCTAAAAAATCACTGCCATGAAAATCTCAAATTTGTTAACACTCATGTGACTGACTGGTGTTTATGGCCCTTACACATTCTTCACTGTCATGGCTATCCCTGAATGCAGTACACCACTCACATGCCTATTTTCTTTATTGCTAGTGGGGTGGGACTAAGTCCCTTGTACTGCGGCCACTTCTGGCCTACTGTACCAGCTCCAGATGATAGGTGAGGGTGATTGTGGAGCAACTGGTGCAATAAAGATTGACCTGCCCCAGCACCACTTTGTCCACCACAAATCCCACTTGACCAGACCTGGGATCGAAGACGGGCCGCCGCGGTGGGAAGCCAGCAACTAGTTAGTTAGTTAGTTATTGGAGAGGGTGGGTTACCCCATGCACCGCGACCAGTTTGATCTACTGTGCTTCCCTCTATGATAATCTACCAGTCTCTATACCCTACTGATATTGGTGCGTACCATCAGTCCCGACCGAGCCAGTGAGTGCTCTACTGGCTTGGCGGTATCTATAATGCTTCCCCCTTCTATCAGAGGCATTAGAGACTATTGTTGGGCGGGAAACGTCCTTGAATTTGGCTCAGTGACCTCCTTTGGAGATATGAGGTTCTTTTACATGCCGTAAAGCTACGACATGGGACACACGGCTTAAAGTCCCTCCCAGAGGACTTGTTCCTTGAATTTTTCTGCCCTTAAAAATTCGACGACCTCCGCCGGGTTTGAACCCGCGTACCATGAGCCATGAGGTGGGAACGTTACCTCTAGACTACGGAGGCCGCTTAAGCCAGCAACTAACCGCTTGAGCTATGGCGCGGCCACTCACATGCCTATGTTCATGACACTGCATCATCTCCAGTGAGTATCAGCTGGTCTGAAGTCTCCATTCATGAAAGACATGGATACACACTGTTGCTCCACCTCCTACAGACCTATGTGGATACCATTTTGCAGTGTTACTAAGCACAGGTGCACAAGTGTTGTTAGTGTGTGTGAAGGAAGAGCGTATGGAATGGTTGTGCAAAAATAACAATAATCCATGTCTTTGTTTAGTAGAGAAAATAAATTATGGTTCAGCTCTGAACCACATGCATATATATATATACTAATATAAATTATGGAGCTGAGCCTTTCTTGAGAAGCCAAATCTGCAGCTACTCAAGAATTTCCCAGCATTTTATGGAACCCAAAGGTTCATTGCCATGTTCACAAGAGCCCTCCACTGGTCCCTATCCTGAGCCAGATCTATCCAATCCATACCATCCCATCCTATTTCTCTAAGATCTATTTTAATATTATCCACCCACCTACACCTTGGTCTTCCCAGTGGTCTCTTTCCTTCTGGCTTCCCGATCAATATCCTATATGCATTCCTCTTCTCCCCCATTCATGCTACATGCCATGCCCACCTCATCCCCCTTGACTTTATCATTCTAATTATACTTGGAGAAGAGTACAAGTTATGAAGCTCCTCATTATGCAGTTTTCTCCAACCTCCTGTCACTTCATCTCTTTTCAGTCAAAATATTCTCCTCAACACCCTGTTCTCAAACACACTTAGTTTATGTTCCTTCCTTAATGTCAGAGACCAAGTTTCACAACCATACAAAACCAGAGGCAAAACTATAGCTTCGTATATTCTAATTTTTGTGTTTTGGACAGCAGACAAGACAAAGGGTTCTGGACTGAATCGTAGCAAGCATTACCCGAGCTCAATCTCCTCTTAATTTCCTGCTTAATCAGGTTTGGATTTGTTATCGCCATTCCCAAATATCTGCACCGTGCCACATTTTCAGAAAATCTGTTTTCTATTGTTATGTCATGATTTTGCCCTGCATGTTGGTGATGAGACAGCAATATATACTTACTTTTCTCTGTGTTTACTTCTAGACCAACCTCTTTACTTGCGTCAATTAAAGTTTGTGTGTTTTTCTTTATGGTATCTATATTATCACACAGTTGATTCACATCATTGGTACAGACCAACAGCTGACGTGTCCCGTTTAATTTCAGTCCCACCTGGTTTTCCTGGACCTTCCTAATGGCATATTCTAAGGCAAAGTTGAAAAGTAATGGCGATAAAGCATCTCCTTGTCTTAGACCATTCTGGATAGGAAATTTATCAGACAAATGTTTACCTATATGGACTTTACCATAAGTTTCGTTTAAACACAGTTTAATCAGCTTAATTAGTTTCATGGGTATCCAAACTCTATCAGAATATGGTACAATACTTCCCTCCTAACTGAATAATAGGCTCTCTTGAAGTCTACAAATAGCTGATGTACTGTCTCATTGTACTCCCATTTTTTCTCCAATATCTGACGATTGTAAAAGATATGACCAGTGTTTGATCTGTTATGTCAAAACCGACACTGATGATCCACAGTAATTTCATCTATATATGGACTGAACCTTGAGAGAAGAATATTGGATAAAATTTTGTATGAAGTTGATAACACTGATATCCCCCAATAATTACTACAGTCAGTTTTATCGCCCCTCTTGTGAACTGGTACAATAATAGACTCCTTTCACTGATCAAGCAATTTTTCTTAATGCCAAATAGAAGGAATTAGCTTATGGATCGTAGAATGTAATATTTCACCTCCTGCTTGAACAAGTTCTGCCGGAATTTGATCACTACTTGGCGATTTATACCTTCTCAATTTTGCAATAGCACTTTCAACCTCAAAAGGGATAGGATGAGGTATTAACGGCTCAGCTGTGTGCATTTCTCTCTGCCTAACATCACTGACCCTATGTACATTTAATAACTGAGAGAAGTAGTTCCTTCACCTATTCAAAATGTTGTGGGAATCTGCAAGCAGATCACCATTCTCATCCTTCACTAAGTTACTTCTATGTTGATTACCTCTCTTGAAGTCATTTATTCCTCTAGACATGTCTCTAATGTTCTTGTTCTTACTGTTCATTGCAAGCTCATCAATTTTGTCTTCATGATATTCCCTCTTTTTATTCCTGAAATGCCTGCTGGTTTCACATTTTATGTTGTTCAGATTATCCCTATTTATTTTGCTTGGGATCCTGTAACCACTGTAACTTGCCTTCCACCTAAGCATACCTTTTGTAAATCCTTGAACTTTTCGAACATCAGAAAGATGTGAAACGAAACATATGCACAAACTCTGTCTAAAACATTCTTTGGAAGGGGTCACTGACATGCAGTAATTTGTATCACTATTAATAGATCCTAAATTGTTCTGATGATGGCGTATCACACTCAGAATTACTGGGGTTTCAGACTCTGTCCATCCTCCGGTATTCTAAGAACTAGAAAACACAGTGTTTCAGAAACTGAATCTATTTCTGCCATGAGGTGAGGGGAGAGATAAGTACTCTGTTGGATCCCTCTCAATCACTGGACAACCCATGTCAGACTCACTACAGTTATTTAAATACCTGAGACCAGGCTATGTCAAAGGAAGATAACAGGAAAATATGCAATGCCATTCTTAGATCACTTCTGTCACCACAAAGGTATCGGATTCTATTCTGAACATATGATCGCAACCAAAATCATCATACTGGAGATCTCATGGAACAATAGGACCTTCATTCTGTAAGGCTGTCCACTCAAGACATGATGTAGGCTCAAAGATGTTTTACATAAAATTTATGCATCACAATTTTTAAGACACTCATCAAACACCACGTGTGTGAGGTCTGTGCATGTGCTTCACATTCAGTAGATCCTGTGTTCAAGTCTTGGCCCACAGTGTCCTCAAACTAAAGGTTTTCACAGATTTCCTCAGAATCTTGAGGAAAACAATACAGTGCCTCAAATTAGGACATGACAGCATCCCTTCACATCCTTTCCAATTCCTCACCCAGAAATCATCTGGTTATTTGATGCTGTGTAGTCTGCTGGTATTTACTGAACCACAATGCATGGCCTGTAAATGTTAATAAAGACAGTTTTTCCCATTGTAAAGAAGCGTCTGATATAAAATGGTAACTTACGCCCTGGCTGCTCTGTGGCCTTCCCTGAGAGAGAACCTCCGTCGAGGTCGAGGCACTGGGCGACCAGAACCATCACACTGAGTCACATTGATTAATTCACCTGTAACAGTTTCACAATTTGTTCTGCTTAGCTTAATAAATTTTAATGCTTCTACAGAACAGAAACCACATGAATAAAATTATTACCAAGCAGAGAAGATGGCTACAGAAATAGGCTTGAAATCACACACAGAATCACACCTTCGAATGGATGGCTTGATCAAATCAGAAAACGTGCAGGGCGTAGCTACAGAACTATGAGCAGTGATCCCAAAAGTGTACCTCAAGAGGAAGCAGGTGCCCGGAAGACAGGAGCACTGCTGTCACTTCTGTGTGAATACCAGGACACAGTCAATGCAGATGAGTGGACAAAACATGTGCATCCTACAGTGAAAGCTGTCATGGGGGTAGGAGTAAATACAGAACTACCGGCTTGTACAAGGTCCGTATAAAAAGTATCGTGAAAAGTTCTGGGAAAATAGATTTATTTCAGATATTGCTACAATGCCTCAAAATTCTTCAAAATACATCCCTTGTGCATCGATACACTTTTGCCAACGGCGTTGCCACGACACGAAGGCTCCCTGGTAGGCGGATTCCAGAAGGTCCTTAAGGGTCCGCATGCAAGCCTCTTTGACAGCACTCAGGGTCCCATGATGGTGCCCTTTGAGGGAGGATTTCACTTTCGGGAACAGTAAAAATTCTGCTGATGCCAAGTCGGGACTGTAGGGGGGTCCTCAATGTGTTGCAGAAGGTCTTCGCAAGCAGCCACTCGTCTCTGCTTTTGGTCGTCCGTCAAGACCTTCGGGACGAGTTTTGCGCAGACCTTTCGCATCGCCAAATCTTCAGTGATAATGGTGTGCACCGTCATCTTATCAATGCCAACACGATCTGCAATCATGCGCACACTTAACCGATGGTCTGAATTGAGTACGTCACGCACACGTTGCACGTTGTCGTCGGTTCTTGACGTCGACGGCCGTCCACCTAGGGGCTCATCCTCCACACTCTGTCAGCCACTTTTGAAGAGCTTGTGCCACTTAAAAACTGCAGTTTGTGACATGCTTTCATCCTTGAACACTTGGCGAATGATGCCCAAAGTCTCCGTACCCGATTTCCCCAGTCCAACACAAAACTTGATGGTGTACCTCTGTTCAATCGTTCACTGCATTCTGCGCTTGCACCGACTCACTTGACAGGGGTCCACTGAAAACACGGCCTGGCCTCTACGAATGCGCCCAGGCGAATGGCGCTTGTTAAAGGTTAGACCCCCACTACCACGCCTGCGCGGTGCAAGCGTGCTGCGGTGTACAGTCACGTAAGGGAAAGATTTTTCCCGATACTTTTTATACGGACCTTGTATGTGCTTGCATTGCTGGCAACTGGGAAGTCTGAGAAACCAAGGGGCTATGAGCATGTACACACAGGCATAACAGCAGTATACTAATAACCAGTGCACTGCATGAGTTCCTGATGTCTTCAGGAAGGACAATGTCACCCAAGAACTCTTTAAACACCAGTGCATAGAACACACCAAAAATATACATAAATTAATGAATTTATACCAGTCAACACAACTGTGGCCCTGCAACCAATTAAAAAATGGATAATCAGGTCTTTGAAACATAAATCTAATACACATCTTATCTGCAAGTTCCTGCAGAGAATCATAACCACCAAACAATGCTACGAAGTATGTCTGCCCAATGCCATATCAATGCTTGCAGCACCATGGAATGCTGTATCAGGTAGGTAAAGGTAAAGCCATTCCTGAGCTTCATTATTTAAGCACCATGCCATCAAGACAAATGGGGGAGTGGAGGTATAGCTACACCTTTCTGGACCATGGCAGTAGACAAGAGGTGAGCAGTCAACTTCATGCCCTGGCCAGTTCACCCCCAGGGAAAGAGGCCCCCCCATACTCATTGGACAGGAGGCTAGGTGGGCCCCAGAGTCAGCCTGGATACTGCAGAGAAGATAAAAATCTTGCACTGCAAGGAATCAAACCTGGACTATCCTGCCTGTAGCTTGCTCCTATACTGACTGAGCTAACCTGACTTCTTGTCAATCGGGAAATGTGTGGAAATTTTTTATCTGAAGACCAGATTCTGTGAAATATCAACTGCTCAGAAGTCAGTCCACCCACTGGGGAAGATCTTTAGAAGGCGGTGGTGAATGCACAGCCATGTCTGATGACATAATTCAGGAAAACTGACATCCTCTGTACTGAAATATAAGACTACAGTTTGGTTGCGTTTTATGCTAGGATGCATGCCTGAAGGCCTCACATAATTCACGACAACAAGTTTTCTCATAGGAAAAACATATGCGTGAATCTTGCAGAATTCTGTGTGATCCATATTAAAAATTTGTGCATAGTGAGACTTTATTAATATATCTTATATTGCACCATTCCAAACTTGCATGAAGTGCAACCGCACTGTACTAAAGCTGAGGAAGTGGAGGTCACAGTGTGTAGAACCACTTCCTTTCTTGTTCTCTTGAGGTGTCTAAGTCAGATGTCAGAAACCTGTGGAGTCTCGAGAACAATTCGCTTAGTGGGGGATGGAGTCCTACTGGGTTCACTCGGCACAGCGGCCACTGATTGGCTTATTGTAGCCTGCCCCGAGTGATTATGATGATGGAGAATTTGGTGGAATGAAGATAGGTAGGGGAAACCGAAGTTCTCAGAGAAAACCCGTCCCAGCGCAACTCTGTCCACCGCAAATCCCACTTCACCAGACCCAAGATCGAACCCGGGTCACTGCAGTGGGAAGCTAATGACTAACCCCTTGAGCTATGGCGTGGCCATCTCGAGAATGACACTTCAGATTGGTTTGAAAAAGTCAAACAAACAATACCAGGTATGTTCTTCAAGAAAGAATAACATTTCAGAACACACTACTCAAATTTAATGTTTTATTTTAGCATCCTGTTGCAGCTGGCATCAGAAATACTTTACAGTTTTGTTTACTGTCCATAATGCAACAATATAAATATTCAAAATTAAACTATACTGATTCTGGAAATGAAAATTAAATGACACACACCTGATAATGGCCGAGTAGGCCGAAACATGTAGCACATAGGTGAATTTTTGAAAAGGATTTAATTTTAAATCTTGATGTTGTTGTATGGTGAATGGTAAACAAAACTGTAAAATATATTGAACTTTAATCATAACACAGCAGACACATACACTGTGTATTTGAACGCCTGCATATTTTATTATGTTTGTAGCCTTTTAAGTGTTAAAATATAAAGTTTCCTTTGTTAGTTAGTTTTCCACAAGGGCTAATAATTTTGTAAATATTTTGAAGCCTATCCTTTTGAAAAGGTTTTTCCACTTAAGAAGCAAAATATACATACACAGAGTAGAAGTCACTATCACAATATACAGCAGACAAAATTTCACAGGCAGAATAACACTCAGATTTAGAAATCATAGTTTTTCCATTTAATTAAAAAAAAGGTAAGGAATAAGATATGAATTGCATTCAAAAACTAAGCTCAGTGTGTCTATAATCATTATTTCATACTTATGTTGATGAAGTACACAAGTTGAAACCAGAAGAAACAGAAATGTAACAAAGATATTATAAAGTAAGTAAAGCTATCCCTGTAACAAGCCGTGGAGGCCCATAGAGTAGACACTGAGGTTCCCACATTTTCTAGACAATTGGCTCAGAGATGGCGCTAAGGTTTTCAGCCTTAAGGGGCCGACCACCCTTTAGCCCCCAGGAAGATTCCTGGTACTCACTTTCTGTTGGAGGCTAAGTCAACCCCAGGGCTATATTGCGGCTGGAAGGATTAAGTAAATTGAAAAAAATCCAATAACCTCATTGGGATTTGATCCCGTGACCTTCCAGATTGCAGCATAGTGCCTCAACTACTACAGTACATACATAAATAAAACTGATTATAAATTAATGAATGACGAGAGAATCCCAAAGGTTCTGCACATGAAATAAAGGAAATCCGATCAACAAAGATCATATGGAAAGACGTCACACAGAGTGAAGCAAGCATAAACTGAGCACAAAGAACGAGAGCCATACAAAAATAAAAATGACGAAGTAAAAAAAAAAAAACACTAATAAAAAGATGACTCACGTTGATGAATGTTGCTTAGATAGACGATATGTGGCATATCATTGATAATACACATACTGAGAGTTCCCGTGCTATTTAGAGGTTTTGCTTTCTTCACGTTTATTGTCTGAACCCATTCGCCTGAGGCACAGTTGAACACATCGACATGTGTTTCACTGTAGACTAGTAAATGACCATCACAGAAACCTGCAACAAGTGAGCATTCTTATGTCATGTCTGAACCACATAGTGATATGGATCGTAATGTTACCACTTGAAAGTTACTAAATTCAGTTTAACTTCTGATATCACAGATCTCATTGAACACATATGACTTATCTTCCATAAGGGTGCTTACTCATGGGCAATACATATCCTCATAGGTGTTCTAGACAGAATTCCTGCCCTTCCTGCAGTGTTCTGAATACTGGGTTATATATTAATGTTTGTCATTCATGTGTAAGTTATCTTTACTGATTTCATATATGTGGTATACATACAAAATATTTTGTATACATATTAAAAAAAAAAAAGAAACAAAGTGTAGAACTTACTGACTGCCTGAGGGATTGCAGGGTACATGATCTCACGGTCACGAGACTTTCTGCCCTGAGCATCCACGTACACGCCCAGTGTTTGAAACACCAATAGGAACTCCCCTCTCGACAGTTCTATTGCACGCATGGCATCCACAGCACTGTATGTAAGGAACCCCAGTAACTGATTATCAGGATGTACCAGAGCTGGAAAAGAAACGGTGCAGTTTCGTGAGAGGAGATACAATTGTACCTCATAGATCAGTAAATTCATCCGTCCTCAACTAAGATGGGAAGACCTGTCTTCTGGGATGTGACACCATGCAGTCTGGTAGTTCACCAGTGTCTCAGAGGACAAAGAGTTTGTAAGAATTAACACAAGCGTAGACATGAATTTAAAACACTCTGCAAACTACAGAAGTACTCACACAGTGGATGTTGGTCCCCCATGATGCTGTATATACTGAAGCCCGACTGGTACCCGACACACAGTCTTCCCTCAGTAAGGATGTTCAAAGTCTGAGCCTGGGTTGGCAGCATCACTTCTCGGAGCCTCTTGTGCCGAGTTTTGGTACGAGTCACCTCATAGATTATCACCTGGGAAGTATTCTGTGCACAGCAAGCACCATTCAGTCATATACCGTAATACATTAACTGTCTATTACAATATTAAAATCTTCAAGTTCTGTGTTCTTGCTTACTGCTTGCATTACAAAGAATTTAAAATGTCCATTTCTTCCATAACTCAATGCACTAGATGTTACAAAGTATTTTTGCAACTTTAACTTTTATTCCTGTATCTAGAAAAATAATGCTTGTAAAAAAAATAATCTCTCAATTAGCAGCATTACTACTGTTAGTGTCATCAGACTGAACGTTACCATTGTTTGAAGATATGAGGTTCTATCGGAAAGTTCCAGGACTAGGTCAAAAAAGAAATGGCTTAACTTACTCAATTTTGGCTGCCATCTCCTTCAAGACAGTCTCTTTGGGAATGTATACAGTGATCCCATCACTGTTTTCACACATCAATATCACTGTGGAAGTCATTTTCCTTAATGGTGTCAAGTGCTGTTTCAGAACATTGTCCATTCAGTTTCATTTTCAATTTGGGAAACAAAGTGAAATCACAGGAGGCTAAGTGCGGTGAGTAGGGAGGATGGGGAATGATAACCATGTTGTTGTTAGTCACAAACTCCGTGGTTTTCAGGGACATATGGGAGGCCCATTGTTGTGATGGAGACAGGTGTGACTGCACCAAAGTCCCTGTCTGTTTCTTGCACATTTCCTCTCCCCCTTCACACTGAAAAAAAGAATGAGCAAGCTCACTCCAGACTTGCCGTGCCTATTTTGCTCTTGGTGACTGTGGGCTCTTCCACTGCGATGACTGTTGCTTTGTTTCTGGATCTTAACAGCAAATCCAACTTTTGCCACCCGCTATGATCTTAGAGATAGAAGTTGGGTCCTTGTTAGCCTTCTCTCATAGCTAAAGACAGATGTTTACACACTGCTGCTTTTGATCATTTGTCAATAGTTGGGGAAAAAACTTCATGGCAGCGCAATGCTTGTTGATATTTTCTGTTAAGATCTCCTGGTAAACTTCATAACTGAATCCAACAGTGTCTGTGAGCTCATGGATTGTTCAGCGATCATTTTCATGGATGAGTTCCTAAAATTTTTCAACATTTCCTGTAGTTCTGCTGGTGCCTGGCCACACTGAACGTTCAACATCTTCAACTGACACTTGAGTGGCCTTGAAACATGAATGCCATTCAAAAACCGCTGTCTGGCTTAAAGAATGTTGTCCAAAAGCCTCACAAAGTATTTCAAGGGTTTTGGTAGTGGATTTGCCATGATTCACACAAAACTTGATGCAGGCACATTGCTTGAGTTTGCCATCCATTGCAGACAAAACAAAACAGGAAGCCAAAAAAGCACTCATGTAAAGCCAATGCATGTTCATAGTGCAGTGTCACATGGCAGATTGATGCAATAGGCTTAGGGAAGTGTGACCTTGGCCTCCCCTCTCTTCTTCTTTCACCAAGGCAGTTACAACAGTAACAGTCTGGAACTTTCTGACAACACCTTGGACAGGCAACCTTATAGAAAAACAGTCTTATAAATTCAAGAAAATGTCTGATACAACAATTTTGTTTCCCATCACATGTTAAAAATAGTATCTGGTAACCTTCTATGATGGTGAAATGATATGTCTTATGATGATGTGCCCTGAAAATTGTTTTTGATATAGAATATACATAAAATGGAGTCAGGATAGCTCAGTCGGTATGAGAGGCTACAGGCTGCAGGGCCCAGGTTTGATTGCTGGCAGTGAAAGACTTTTCTCCAGTGTCCAGACTGGCTTTGGGGGCCACCCAGCCTCCTATCCAATGGGTCCCGGGGTCTCTTCCTTCAAGGGTAAAACAGCAAAGGCATGAAGTTGACCACTTACCTCCATCCAGTGCTGATGTCAAGAAATATGGAGCTACAGCTCCACTCCCCCCATACATCTTCATGGCATAGTACTTAATTAATTAAGCACGGGAAGAACTTTACCTTTATATACATGAAACATGTGCTTTCATATCTGCCACTGAAGCATACATATTCCTTGACCTCCACGACAGTTTTCTTCCCAATAAGTTTATATCTCAACACATCTATTATACGTTTAGTTATAGTGCCTTTAATTTTAATTGAAGTATGTAATTAAATTAACATTCATACCATTTATATATAGGTAAGTTAATAAGTAAGTTACAAATTGATACAGAACTTAAACAAATAGGAGTACTGATTTGAAAAATGCTTTAATTTCTCAACATAATCTCCCTGTACACTGAGGCACTTGTTCCATCATTTCACAAGCCCCTGAAAGCCACCAGCATAAAATTCTTTGGGCCGCTCTCGGAACCAGGCGGTGACTTCCCTTTACAGGGAACATTTACATCCTGAGGATGTTACAGTAGGAGTCTGCATTTATGTAAATGCCAACTCCTACTGTAACATCCTCAGGAAACTTCGTAAGGCCATTTAACGGAAGCGACCAGGACTCCTCACCAAAGGCGTGTTGCTCTTGCATGACAACACGCGTCCCCATACTGCCAACAAGACATATGGGATGCTGCGAAATTTAAAGTGGGAAGTCCTCGAGCATCCTCCATATAGCCCCGACCTGGCTCGAAGCGACTTCCATTTGTTCGCCCCTCTTAAACATCATCTTTCTGCTGAACATTTCGCAACAATGAAGCTGCAGAAAGGGAAGTCACCGCCTGGTTCCGACAGCAGCCCAAAAAATTTTATGCTGCTGGTTATCAGGGGCTTTTAAAATGATGGGACAAGTGCCTCAGTGTAAAGGGAGATTATGTTGAGAAATAAAGGCATTTTTCAAATCAGTACTCTTATTTGTTTAAGTTCTATATCCACTTGCAACTTACTTATTGACTTACCCTCATATTTTAACCACTTAATTTCACTGGGCCAATAATGTAACGTGTCGGCAGTCCAGAAGAGACTTCTATGGGAACGCTAGAATTATTTTTAGGCTTCACTAAATACAATTTAATTAAAAACAATTATGTAAGTTTTCAGATTTTCAAGGTAGTGGTAGTTCAGATTGTAATTTTCTTGACTGTGACACTGTGCTGTCTCAGTGACATACACCGATGTTTCAGAAGAACAAGCAGTCTGCAACTTCAAGGCTGCAGTCCATAGGATGCCTATATAACAAAACAAATTGCTCAGAATACACACTTCAACCCCAGATATGGAGGTAGAATGTATTTTCAAAATGCTGGCATCACTCTACAAGACTGTACAGTGTCACAACCAACAAGACGAAAATCTTGTTAAAAAAAAAAACATGACCCCAATTCTTACGAAACTGATTGAACACAAACTTCACACTGTTTCAGAGAATCACTCATGGAGCTGAACCCTTCTTGAGAAGCTGCCAATTGTGCAGCTACTCAAGAACTTCCCAACATTTCATGGAACCCAAAGTTTCATTACCGTGTTCACAAGAGCCCTCCACTGGTCCATATCCTGAGCCAGACAAATCCAATCCACACCATCCCATCCTATGTCTCTAAGATCCAAAGTCAGGGAATACCTGTATTTTTGTATAACAGAGTATCGAACATTCCCTGCACCTGGTTCTCCATCAGCCTTGCTCTAGCTTTTAACACTTTAAAAATCCAGCCACATGTACAGGTACAATGTAGCTTACCTTAAGGCCGTGCCATAGCTCAAGTGGTTACAGTTACATCAGCAATTTGTGAGCAATATTGAGCCTGGTCAACAGTGTTGCAAAGTTTCCTCCTTGATTGAACGCCCTGTAGTTTGCCAGTCACTTCAATGATATAGAGCCTAAATGTATTTCGTGACAGTTACGTCAATGATATATAGCCTAAAGGTATTTCGTGACATTTACGTCAATGATATAGAGCCTAAATGTATTTTGTGATATTTATGTCACTGATACAGAATGTGGGTACTTTAAATTCTTTGTTCTGTGTGCTGGTGCAACAGTTCCACAATTTATATGCCAGAACAGAAGAATTTCTTTCTGTGCTCCTTTAGATCTGTCAGCACAGGAGGGGGGGGGTATTTACATAGAAGTGATTATGAAATGTTAACTCTTTCATCTAATACAGCTCATTAAAATATAACCAGCAAGTGTCAATAATTAAGAATATTAAGTTTCCAGTTTAAAAATTAATGACTACTGATACTATTTGAGTTTGCTGATTCTTACAGAGGTGCCTATAAAGATGAATATCTTCTGAGACATGATGTCATTTAGTGTGCTCCTTCCTACCAGACTACTCTGCATCTCATGCAAGAAGTCAGTAATCCTGTTTAATATTATCCTCTCACCTACCCTTACTGCCCACACAGTCCCTATGCCTTACAGTTCTCCTGCCCAAATTTTGTACATTTTGTTGTTTCCATATGGATGTTACCTGTCTTTTAATAGCCACACACAGGCAATAGCCAAGCTGAGGAGAACGCCTCATGATGCCTGTTGCAAATGTGATGCAACCTTTTGTCTCAGCAACTTTGATCCATTCGACATCATCGCCATCCAGCGCCCGCACGGGAATCAAGCGTACATGTCTCTGCTTTCCTGATAATACTACCAACAACTGCTCTTCAACCACGTATTCAAGTTGGTAGACCTTTTTACCCTCTCCCACGCGGGCTATCTCTGCAACACAAATCCAATTTTATGGTAAACTAGTGCATGTTCAGAAATATCAGTTACACTAGACATATCAAATTCATGGATAAATTTATGGATAAAGTCCAGAAACCCAATATATCAGTGTGTTATACACCATCGTCAGAATCCTATAGTAACTAATATCAAATTCATTACTGCACTGTTTCAGGCAGGCTGCAATTCTGTTCACTGAACTACTAAATCGGGCTGCTAAAATAGGTGAGCAACAGTTTACTTACTGCAACAATTACAGCTTCTGAAATTTAAATTCTTAACATTTGTGATAACGAATAGCACAGCTGAATGGTTATGACCCCTACCCTGCTACTCTGGTTGCACTCATCAATATCTCAGGCGATATAGTGATGAATGGTAGAACAAGTGGTGAATAATGAATTGCACAGGATCTGGAACAAACCACTCATGGCCTAACAGAGGAACTTCCCAAGCATTTGCCTGCAGATCCTGAGGAAAACCATGAACATTAGTAAGACAATGTCTGTTCCAGCCAAGATTCAAAAGAAGCGCCTCCCAAATACACGCCCAGAGCTTTACTGCCACGCCAACCCACCAAGTCTTTCTGTATCATTCAGCCAGCTTGTGGAAGTTCTATCCATTTATAGCTTCTTGTGTTTTGAGTCTTTGATTTCCAAGTGCCTCTGCTAATGGGCCATCAAAAAGGAAGGTCATAAGACCTACAGTGCAGATTTCAAAGGCCACTCTATGTACAGTAGAAGCAGGACACTTAAATGTCCACACAAAGGGTAAATAATCCTGTCATTATCAGAGACAGTGTTGAATTATTTAATGAATAGCAAATAAGAGTAAAGCTAAAGTTACCATGTCATGAAGACAAGGAAAGAGCTCTGGTATATGCATTGGACAGCAAGCTGAGTGAGCCTCAGAGCCAAACACGTGGGGAGAAAATCTTTTGTCCCTGCCAGGAATCATGAATAATGAATTGCGGAGTAAGCAGAAGAATGCTGTAATGGTCTAGGTTATTATCCTGGAGGAAAACCATGAAAACTCAGTCTAGGCACCTAGTCTTTAGAATGAAAATCATGCCATAAGCGTATATTACCTCTGACATGACTTACCACTACGATCCAGATCTAAACAGAACAACCCTTCCTCAGTTCCAATGACTAGGCGATCAGGATCTACAATTGCCCCTGACATGGCATTCTTGATTAATGCTAATGTATTGTCCAGTAACTCCTTAGCCCGGAATATCTGTGAAGAGACGGAACAAACATACATAAGCCACAGTTCCTACAGCAATGTGTACAAGAACCCTAACAACACTTTACTATACAGTGGATACTCCGTATTACACAGTTTCAGCCAGAGGAAGGGAGGGGGGAAGGTGATGGCAGCAGTGGTGGTATCAAGAATGACAGTGCAGGTCTCACACATTAGATGGTGACCCAATTAATTTTAGAAGCTCCTGTCATGTTCTTTGCCATGTTTTCGCTAGTAACCTCAGAAGTACAACGATTCAATTTGCAGAGTTCAGTATTTGACACAGAGACAAACAGGTGAGTGGGGTCCTGTGGGTGAACCAAATTTATTGTTAACATGACAACTGAAAGCCAGGAAACTGGAACAAATTGGTGTGACCACTGCTAGGCAACAGTGCAGCAAACATGCTTCCACAGAAATGAATTAACACGCAATACAAGAACTGTTGGAAGTGGTGTTTTCTGTGAGGTCCACCCCCAGGCTATATAAAGGGCCAGTAGACAAGATATGAAAGTGAGTCTGCAAGAAGACAAACCAGTCTGAGTTTGAGGTTGTGACGGTTGCCCCTGACAGAGGCGTGGGAGTCCCCACTGTTGGAAGCTGTTGCCTAGCAATGCCTACTGAAGACACAGAAGACTTAGCGCATGCTACAGTGAACTAAAATATGTGTGAATTAGTGCAACTGTTATAGTACCTGTAGTCATGATTTGTAAGAGTACAATAAATTCAGTTACCAATTTGAACTGCGTCTAGTCACTAAGTACATGACATTATTGATGGTTAATGCAATTAACTTCAAAATTAGGATTTTGGTTTTGTTTTTACAAATTTACTTTTACAGCTTACAGCGCGAACGTGATGGTAAGTTTATGAAGATGGCTGGGTCCCCCATTACTACGCAAGCACCATACTCAAAACTAGATGTGTGCAAGAATGACCTTTTTTAGTTCAAGACGAGAGCGAGAAGTCAGTTTCGAAAAATTTCGAGAATTGAGAAAAGAACAAACAATTTCCCCAACAGATCATTTCTATTTTTACTATAATCACAATTTATAACACCATCCTACTTTTTCAGAATACATTAAAGTGGATAACAGAACCCTTTATGGTGTAAAATTTTCATAAATCACTTCCACTAATTCAATTCTAAGGCCATGTTCTTTTTCATCATTGGCAGAAAGAGGGAGGGAGGGAGGGAGGGAGATGACAGACATTCTGCTGACAAACCAATCATGCTACTACTGCCACCCCTACTTGAAGTTTCTTTGTGGAGCAGTGGACTTCAACACTAAACTGAGGATAATCTTCAATGGTGGAACTTTAATGCAGTTTGTTAACTTTAGATCACTGAAATTGAACCTTAAATGAGGAAAAATCTTAAATCACAGAACAGTGAATGGGAGTTCCACAGAAAAAAAAAAACAGATGTGTGTTCAACAAAAGTATGTCAATGTACTGACCGTCCTATTAGGCAGATTATTGCGTTTTAGTATCCTGTGTAGTTCGCTGAGAGCAACCACCCATTTTGTCTTCTCACTTTCTGTGTCCGCTAACATAAGCGTATGATTCTTTAACCCAGGCGGCTCCATTAGTGAAGTTGTTATCTGTGATAAAAAATTGACATTATCACACAAACATTACAAGAAAACTTATTCTACACAAAAGCAGAAAATTAAAACAAACTATAAGCTGATTTTGCAGTAAAATCTTTGCTTGTACAGTAAAATACATGACAAAAATATCACATAAATAGTAAACTGTACACTGCTGAGGACAGACAAAAGGAAAGTTTATTATACAGCCAGTCAGATTTACTTGCCTTATAGTTTATACTACGATAACAAAGTCAAAAGGCTGACACCCCTTGTTATGTATTCTGGAGGTCATGGGTTAAAATCTTGACCCAGAGACTATCTATTTAGGCTCAGATTTTTCATGTTTTTCCTCAGTCAACCAAATGCCAGAATAATACACCACATGACACCAAGATCACTTCTGTCCACATCATTGAAAACATCACTAAATAAATTATAAAAACACAAAACAATACTTTCAATTGCTCACACTGCACAGCACTGAATGGTAGGATAAGTGAATAATGAATTAGCCAGTATGTGGAAGGAGGCAGTTGTGGCATAAGTTGTGGTACTCACTGGAAACTTGCCTAGACACTAAGCACAAAAAAATTCAGTCAAGATAGCTGATCCCTATGCTGAGATTGGAACCTAGGACCCCTCAAACACAAAGCAGGAATCTTGCCAACTTCACTGTAACATTCGGTACCCAAACTGAATGAAATGACTGCACCGGATAATATAATTTGCAAATTACTGTCATCCAAAGACATTATGTTGTGAAGTCCTGTAGATATTTACTGACTTTTCAGAGGTATTTTCTGCCTCCATCTTCAGGGATGTTTCACCTATCCTGAAGAAGGAGGCATCATGTTCCTCCAGAATCTCAGTAAACACCTACCAGATTATATGGTGTCACATCCCAAAAGATAGTAATCCCCAATACACTGTTGTGAGAACCTCACATTTTGTAACTACAATGATTCACTGCACACCATCACAGGCAGAAATATGCAGAGTACATTCTCGTAAACATTATTTATGTTTCAAGTTGGAGCTATCTTGAAACTGTATAAAACTGAAAATACTGAAAAGAATTACTTGTTAAATATATAGAAATATAAAATCAGTCTGCGTGATGTGCACACAAATATAATCAACATAATTTTTTAAATATAAGTTGTGAAATCAGTTCTGGCATGCTACCATTCACTTCCAGCCACTTCCAGAAGGGGGGGGGGAGAGAGAGAGAAACATGCCACTCTAACATGAGTAGCAAAATTCGCTATGCTGTCATGTTACAGCATTTTGTCCTTGTGGAAATTATACAACATAACCATAAATTAGTCCTCTTGGAAATCTGCGATAAATAATAAAATGTTTTTAAACAGAAAATGCAAGCAACAAATAATTCAGATAACATACAGTGAGGTCACATTTTACACGAAGGATGCATTCCTGAAGACCTCGCATAATTCAAGACAAAATTTTCACATAGAAATCACATGTGATTCTTACTAATTGTTTTTGTGATTCACATAATTTCAAACTTTGAGCATAAAGTGAGATTTTATTAATATTTTTTTCTCACTATTTCAAATTCACATAAAGTATTACCATGCTCTACACGCATGTCCGTGGCCACTGGCTAGCCTGTTTGCATGCAACATGCGATAGAGGGATCACTGATAGCATGGTTGCCATTCCCCACCTTACTTTGCACTGTGCAGTGTTACCCCGGGTACCACACTACTTTCAATATAAAATAGTTTTTAAATTAATAATAAATAAATAATTTTGAAAGTTGCACATTCCTCGAATTTATGGCACACTTGCATTATTACAACTGTGGGTCACAAAAATTTCCATAGGACCACCTCTCCACTTATAGCATGTGGATCAACAGAAACACTAACCTGACGATACTGTATTTAACGATATGGACCCATTTTAAAAAACACATCACTACTGTAACATGGGGGGGAGGCATGCTACATATCAATCCTCCTAACTGTACCATCTAATCCACTCTCTGATTTATAATCATAAATATTTTTTAGATGAGACCGAGCAGGGTGGTGTATCAGTAACATTCTACGCTCATATCCAGGAGGTGCTCTGTTCGACTCCCAGCTGTGACACCAGCTACAATGACTAAGAATTTTTATGATTTTTCCAGTCACTCCAGACAAATGCTGGTATTATTCATCATGAACCAATCATGCTACCACTCAGTGCTATACAGTCTCGACAGCCTCACTACATAAGCCAGGTGACAGAGAGAAATCAAACAACATTATGACACTGACTGTCCACCACAAGCAGTACACATGGCAGTGCCTTAATTCTGTAATTTAGGAGCGTCAGTCAGAAAGTCAATTTACAGAGGCATATAGACTGAGGTCTTTTTATTACAATTCCCAAGAAGTAAAATGCAGGGTACTTCTACTGTAACCCCACTACTTTTCAACAGTCTCTACAAAAACTCAAGACACTTATTATATCATTCAATGAGTTTTCTGTTTTGTGTTGGTGTCATGTCCATGTCCTTTTCAGTCAGCCGCTGTTTCATCACTTTAGAATCAATGGCCTCCATGGTGTTCCTCCAGTACTGGAAAAACATGGTAGTTGCTAGGCGCCAAATCAGGGATATATATTAAGATGCTTCAACATCTACAATTCCTGTGAGATCACACACCTTGCACACTTACTTTCCAAGCACCCCTCACATACAGCAGTCTCACTTGGATTTCTTGATATAAACTGTGGTAAGAAATTGTACAGTTGTTACTTACCCTAAATATGCATGGGATATCCTTTTTTGTTGCATGAATTACATCTGAGTCTCTCACAGAACTCACAGCAAATTCTTCGTCCCGCATATCGAGAACTTGTGAAACGTACACCGATGGGAGTGCATTACGATCAGGGGAGATATCATACAGGAAAAGTTTGAAGTCACACACCACAACAAACTGACGCACCCAGCCTTTCTTCACACCACCTGTCTTGGGCACCTTTACATAACCTTCGTAAGCGGTGCCAATACCTCGTGTGGGATCGATGCCAAGGGGTCGCTTTGCTGCAAGCAAACATATGATTTCATGAGATACATGATTGTTTAATGAATGAACAAAGCAATATTAAAACCAGCTGCAATATATGGATATGGAACATGTTCTGTGATGGATAAGGATAAAGTTATGTTACATATGTGCACGTGCATACATACATACATGTGTGAACAGTGTGATAGGCACAACAGTGGCTACAGCCCTTTGTGACTAGATATAAGATGACTTAAAACTATGATTAAAGACATTAACACATGTCAAACTCTGTAGTGATCTGACTAAAAGTATGCAGATGTGTATGAAGGAAGGAAGGTGCTGTTGCCTATAAACTACTGTAAAACAGGATGTATATGGGGCAGTAAGATCTTAAAGTAAGAATGCGGATAAAATAATTGAAACGGGAAAACAAAAGCAGTGGATCATTTAACTAGTCTCAACCTTAAAACTGTAGAGGTCAGTAAAATCAGGTGTCTAGGGGCTGATGAGTGCTTATGGACCTGTAACTGAGCAAAGGGTTTGATGAACCAGAACCAACCAAGAACTGATGGAACTGCACAACACTACAAATTTCATAGTGGATATCAAGAGGACAGGCCTGGAGTAGTTAGGGTGTGATAAAATGGGTTCAAACAGGAGTGCATAAGACAATCTTCTAAAGGCAAAAGGGGGGGGGGAGAAAAGCGGGAAGCCCACAGTGAGACAGCTGGAAGATGTACAGAATGATGTACAACAGCTGCAAGTGAAGAGATGGAGGCCAAAAGCAAATACCGTATTACTTCGAATTTCAGACAAATCCAGTTTTTTAATGCGAGTTTTATGAAAAAAAAACAGAAAGCTGCACATTCCTTGAATTTAAGATGCTCCTCAATTTTTCAACAGGAAAAATGTGTACATGTCTTATATTCGAAGCAATGTGGTAATGAAGAAGGCCAAGGTTCTTAGAGGAATGCAGAACCTTTTGTCTTCTCGTCTGCTGTCTAAAAACATAAAAATCAGAATATACAAAACTATAATTTTTCCTGTGGTTCTGAATGGGTGTGAAACTTTGTCTCTGAAATTAAGGGACGAACAGAGACCAAGGGTGTTTGAGAACAGGATGCTGAGGAGAATATTTGGACTGAAGAGGGATGAAGTGACAGGTTGGAGAAAACTGCATAATGAGGAGCTTCATAATTTGTACTTTTCTCCAGGTATGATTAGACTGATCAAGTCAAGGAGGAAGATATGAGCAGGGCATGTAGCACGAATGGGGGGAAGAGGAATGCATACAGGATACTGGTGGGAACGCCAGAAGGAAAGAGACCACTAGGAAGACCAACATGTAGGTGGGTGGATAATATTAAAATGGATCTTGGGGAGACAGGATGGGGTGATATGGACCAGTGGAGGGCTTTTGTGAACATGATACTGAACCTTCAGGTTCCACAAAATGTTGGGAAATCCTTCAGTAGCTACACAACTGGCAGCTTCTCAAGAAGGGCTCAGCTCCATGGCTTTATTTAGTCAGGTTAGGTTAGGTTGTAGATTTATAAACACATCCATCTGATGCTATCATCTTCTGAGCATAAGAATTATGCTCCTACAAAACCATGTGATAGTATAATATACACAATCATTGCTGTCTTCATCTGCAAGTTCTGGGTCTTTGTGTGTCTTGTCTTGTGTGAGTCATTTAATGTATATTACATAATATACAAGGTCTGGCAATAAAGTTCCAGCACTGGTGTGGGAAAAAAAAAAATTACAATGAAATAAAAAATTGTTTTATTTCTATTCAAAGTAATCTCTGCCAACCTGAATATATAGGCTGCGCCATAGCTCAAGCGGTTAGTCGCTGGCTTCCCACTGCGGTTGCCCAGGTCTGATCCCGGGTCTGGTCAAGTGGGATTTGTGATGGGCAAAGTGGCGCTGGGGCAGGTTTTCTCCGAGTACTTCGGTTTCCCCTGCCAATCTTCATTCCACCAATTGCTCCACAATCACCCTCACCTATCATCTGGGGCTGGTACAATAGGCCAGAAGTGGCCACAGTACAAGGGACTTAGTCCCATCCACTAGCAATAAAAAAAAACACAGACAGTTGTAACATCCCATAAGTTTATACTGACATTTTACCCAGTTTAAAACAAAAATTGGTTTAATTTGTTGCTCCATAGCTAAAAAAAGACAGCAGTTAAAAACATAAGTAAGTCACTGAGCTCCTACTCATGGACTATCAATGATTGGATTTGCTGACCCCTGCCAATTGTTGGTAGAAAGTAGAACCACACTCAAACGGCAGCAGCTTCTTCCACTGAGACCTAATGAGAATGTGCGGCACCAATGCCGGAACAGTATTGATATGCTTTGTACCAAAAGTTCATAGGTGCTACTCCCTGAAATTCTGCACTCATCAACAAATTATACAGGTGACTGTCATTATATGCTGGGGCTGCATGCCTGACAATCACGAAATAGGAAACACAGTGACTGACCACAGAGCACAATCAAGAAAGAGCAGGACATGACACTGCTGAGTCAAAATGGCTGGATGAATCAGGGAAACTGCTCATACAACTCACTGGGCATGTGCGGTAGCTTCTACTGCAACAGCGGGTGAGACAGCTATGTACCTCAAGACACAGAACTGGAACTTTAGATAATGAAAGTCATCTGTATTTTAGCCTCATACATATATTATTATACTGGAGCATCCCGTGGCACTGTGTATTCTAATTCAGTGCTTGTACTTCTCACTGTACCTGTCCAACTTCGTTGATGTGTTAAAATTCACACTTTAATAGCATTTGTCTCTTCCTATTATTCAAACACTGTGTTTTGGTCAAAACTGGTCATCATCAGGTATACCAGCTGTAGAGAAAACTGTTGCCCATTGTCATGCTGCTACACGTTGCACTTTAAATGTGTAATATACTTAACAAGATATTTTAAAATTATCTTGTTTCAAGCATGTGCTGTGGTCTGGTGTATATTTTTTGGTGTGTTGGCTTTTCTTCGGTGCTGCATGCAGCTGTTCTGACTTCTACCAGGTTATAATGACACTCATAACAGGAATAGGAAGAGATGAATGCTTCTGAAGTGAGAATTTTAATTAAAAAAAAAAAGTAAAGGTATCCCTGTAACAGGCCGTGGAGGATCATAGGGTTGTGAGACGTTGAGGTTCCCACATTTTGCAGACAACCAGCTTAGAGATGGCAGTAAGGTTGTCAGCCCTATGCACCAGCCGCTCTCTACCCCCCAAGAATATTCTAAGAAAATTCCTGGTACTCATTTCTGTTTGAGGTTGAGTCGACCCCAGGGCCATAGTGTGGCCAGAAGGATTTGACAAAGTTGCACAAGGATGGTGAGAAGCATGAGTGCAAATTCATACACATAAGTTTGATGCTGGTGGGATTACTAATCTCAACAAAACATTCCTTACACAATGGAAAGCAAAAATGGATCCTGAATACGTACTCTGATCTGAGGGCACAGGGCATATCACAGGAACCTTTTCACAGCAACCGATGTGGCAAGCAAAGCCGCACACTTCACACACGACGCCTTGCCGAGTAAGGCCCACCATCAGTGATGTGCAGTGACTGCACTTCGTAGGAGAGGAAAATGTTCTTACAAGGAACTGGTGAGATTTTGGTTTGGGGGGGAGGTGAGGGGCCATATGAGGGGGTTTGTTATGCAGGTCGAGTCCATGTGGAGAAGTGGGATCCTGTGAAACAGTAATTTACAGTCTGTTTTATTTCATTTGCTCGTGGTTTATTCAGTGATGCTGTCAGGAGCTGAAGCTACAAAACTCTGATGTAGTTACTGAACAATGAACCTGAATGGATGTGGATGAACGGGTTCACGGCTAATCTGGGTTACTATGGTGGCACTTCTTTGAGAGGTAGACAAAAACAATGGAAAAGCTTGAGACAGGATGGGCTGTGCCCCACAACATTTTAAATACAAATCGAAAGCGAAGACACTTCAGTTAATTTCTTAAACTTCATCATGACACATCAAAGTAAAAAGGGAGGGGGGGGAACGCATTCAGAAACAACTGATACTCGAAGAAAGCAACAAAAAGCAGTTTTCCTCAGTGGTAAGTAAAAAAGTAAAAAGTAAAGGTATCCCTGTAACAGGCAATGGAGCCCCATAGGGTTGTGAGACGTTAAGGCTCCCTCATTTTGTAGACAATCGGCTCATAGATGGTGGCAAGGCTGTCAGCCTTATGTGCCGGCTGCCCTTTACCCTTAAGAATATTCCAAGAATATTCCTGGTACTCATTTCTGTTAGAGGCTGAGTCAACCCCAGGACCATAGTGTGGCTGGAAGGATTAAGTCAATACAAAGAAAATCTAATGACCTCATCGGGACTTCAATCCGCGACCTTCTAGCTTATAGCATAGTGCCTCAACCAACTACGTTACTGCGTGCCCCCTTACCTCAGTGGTTATGTAGGAACAGACATGGAAGGAGGAACCAGGATTTGTAAAGGACTGGATTCTTGAGTTGAGATGTTAAGATCCTTGATAAAAGTATGCTGAAGCAGAAGTAAGTCACTTTTTACAACCTGGACATTATCCATAACCTAAGTTTTATACTAAAAACACAATCTTCTGAAAGCAGGGTTTGCATATGTTGACATGCTAAAGAAGATATGAACTCACGAGGTCCATCACAATGAGCTACTGTCAGCCACTTTTCAGCTCATTCCTACAGATAAATCAGATTAGGCTCCCCATTTACCTAAAGACAGAAGCACAACTGGCTTCTGAAATATTGACTTTGTAATCTGAAAAAACTATGTAAAGATTATATTGTCTCTATACTTGATTAATTAAGCACCACATCTTGGAAACATATAGGAGAGTGGATGTGGAAGTCCATGTATTCTTAGCCTCAACAATAAATGGAGACAAGTGGTCAGTTTCAGGCTGTGACTGCTTTACTCCTGTGAAAAGAGCCCGTGGTACCCACTGAACAAGAGGCTGGGTAATATAGACACCTAACGATGTTGGATAAGGTGCCGAGTGTAAAGAGGTTACTTCTATTATGAAAAAACTCCAGGAATTAATACGATGTAAGACCTAAAAACTGCAACATCACTGAAACAAATCAGTAAGAAAGAAAGATACATTCATGTATTTACAAACATAGTTAGTTCAATCAATTTTATTTTTATGACAAAACATGATGACTGTAAGCATCAGTACTTGTTAAATTTAACACAAATTCTGATATATTTCATATGAAAACTTGTTTTCTACAAGGCAATTTTCTTAAGCTCTTTAAGTCAATGTAATCCTCTGACTCACAAAAACTTCATATAAACACCTTTCTGTGGCAATGGCACAGCCAAGCCAGCCAGCTAACTAACAGCGCCAATAAAATGCATTATGAAAACGTGAAGCACGTTTGCAGTGCAGTGATACTTACTATGCTAAGTTCTGACAAATTGGATTTACTACTCGCTATAGATGGAGCTCTGTTGTCTTCTACATCTCCCTCCTCACTTTCAACTGATCCACGCTGACGATTAGAAGATTCTATCAGGAACTTGTCTAAATATGACATCTGAGATGAAGGTCGTTCCAAAACTGAAACTATATATTTCAGAAACAGAAACAGTATGCATTACAAACAGGGTGCTGTACTGAAACCTGGATCCTTATATATGATAGTATTTTTATTCACTGCATGTTACCAACCCAACCAATCATCAACTACTACTGAGACATTTACAAGTTTCTGCTCAGAATTAACTAGCATTCTTTCTTGTTATCAACATATGCGCTTATGCTCTTCTGTGACCTTTCTTTAACTAAAGAATGCATTTTATTTACTGATATACACCAAAGAAAATATACAAATAAGGTAAAATTGCAAAGAGCAGTAATATTGTCATTTAAATGTAGTTGTTAATTGCAGGCAGGGTGTCACTTAAAAGAGGTCTTCATGGGGTTAAAGTATCTCGTTGAGTGAAAATGTGTCTGCAGACCAAGATCGTGTCTGTTATTGAATTTTCACTCTTTTCTCAATGCTAATGTCAACGTTAAACATTAAAATCATCTAAAAAATCTGGGGGGGGGGACACACAATTAAATATATCCACACAAAAGACGGTCTATAAAACCGAAATTAACGGCCGTGGGATTCGTTGCGCTGACCACGTGACACCCTTTACTCGCTAAAGTTGGCACTAACTTCGCCAACTAGAGGTGGTTGCTCGGTCTGTATAGTTCACTTGCGCACTAAAATCACAGTTATCCATACAAAAGACAGAAGCTTCTATGCATGTGCACAAAATAAATATCCCTTTATTATGCATAGATCTAAGTCAACTGGGCGCCTGAACATTCTAAGGTTCTGAACATTTCTACTTCATCACTTTTAATGTCTATTTCCAAAACAAACTCAAATTCTTTATGATTCCTGACTTCTGAGATGTGTGACACCATACAGTTTGGTAGATGGGTACCGATGTTTCGGAGTGACCTGCCTAAGATGAAGGAAGCAGGTTCCTCTGAAGCTGAATGGTGCAACATCCTACAAGACAGCAATCCTGACAGTAACTATGGCAGAAACCTCAAGCCTCAACATTACAGAGTTTCTGAAACTTATCCAATGTCTATTATTCCAATTGGAACACTGAACCCAGTTCTAAAGTAGAGGGTGCTCACTGCATATTACACTGAGTATTATCGGGTTGCTACACTCTGCCAATCATCTTGGGTTCCGAACAATGTTTGGGAGGCCAGATCCAGTTCTCATCTTAGGTCAAATAAGGGCTGTGGAGGCGGGGGGGGGCATTGACTTGACTTGGGCATTATTCAGAGCTGATAGAAACAGATTCAGTTTCTGAAAAGATGTGACAACTTTGGAGTACCAGACAATGGACAAGGTCCTGAAATCTAATGATACAAGGGGCGTTCAAGTTCTAAGGTCTCCAATTTTTTTTCTCAGGACTGGGAGCAGATAGACACATGCGGTTTAGTTTAAAATATGTGTGCACTCTTTGTGAATGCATGACAGAGATGGCAGCACACTACGGCACACAAAACTCTAGTGGTAGTGGTGCGCGTGAGGAGTGTTTTTGATACTTAAAATGGCGACGTTTTTGTTACAAGAACAGCGAGTAATCATTCGTTTTCTCCACTTGCGTGGTGCGACACCCATTGAAATTCATCGCCAGTTGAGTGAGACGTGTGGTGATGGTGTCATGAATGTGAAAAATGTGTGTTTGTGGGTGCGACATTTCAAAGAAGGCCGAACATCGTGTGACAACGAACCAAAATAATCTCGGCCTCGCGCCAGCCGGTCTGACAACATGGTCGAGCAAGTTGAGAAAGTTGTTTTGGAGGATCGCTGATTGAGTGT